GCATCTAAAGTAGTGTTTAGAGTTTCATCAGTACTGCAATAGTTCTGTAACTGATGGAGCAGATCTAGCTATAAATCCCTAGACTAGATCACCTCTTAAACCAAACGCTCATGACAGACTTCAGAAATAGCTCATGAGTTTCAAAGCACCAGCCCACATGTACTACTTCTCTTTTTCTCTTTCTCACCTGGATAGACACAAGCTCTTTTTGCCTGTCTTAGTGCCTTTAAAATCTACATCATCTTTTACAAATTCATTCTCAGTCAAGAACAGTCAGCTTGCAGTTTTTACTACTTACTGTAGTTATCTTCATGGTGTTAGGAGGCATAGTGCAGTGCAAGGCAATCATAGCAACTCATAATCTTGCCTTCAAACAGAAACCCAGCTACTCCTCTGAGCTTATAAATCCTTAAGGTAGCATTTGGCTGATTGGGATTGGCCAGAAAAACAGGCACATGTGAGAAAAGTAGGAACGGTTGGGAGGAGAGCAAAAATGTTAACAGAAACCATGTGTAAAGAGTTAAGCTCCCAATTAATCCATTCTCAGCCTTGTCAGGTTAGCTTACATTTTTGCCCAGTTTCTGTTACCATCCATCACTGTTACAGAACGAAGATTCAGTTTTAAAGCCAGGTACCTTCTCTTCCATAGTACATACAGCGTACTGGGAAACTTAAATGTCAAGTAATGTGAATGGATTGCTTTTTAAACTCCGCATCCACCCTTGGAAGTGCTGAGCAATGCCACTGCTAAAGGAAGTCGAAACTCTGACCCCAGTAATCCCAGCAAAAAATACAAAATCTGTTCCTCCCCCTACTTGATCCTCTTTCTAATTCTTTGTAACATAATCCATGGGGAAAAAACAATTTCTCTTTTACTCCTGGGCTATCTTACAGTGAAACAGGGGGAAAGTCTTCCTGTTGTCTTTTGGTTTATATTTAAAGAACTCACGTGATACTTTACACATTATTTGAATTCTTTCTATTTTTAAAGCAGTTAAATTGTATTTGCATTCTTTCTTGAGGTAAATTTTGAGCTGCAAGAATCTAACTAGAGAAGAGCAAATCAGGGTTTCATGAAACTTAATGGATAACTAGCATCTTGAGGTGGAATATTCTTCCACAGAAAATGAGGAGGAATTAGAGGAAACAAAGCCCAACATTTTGCAGATTTGGCCACTTATTTACATGGCTGAATACGCATTTGGAAAACTAATGATGAGTCGTAGGTACCTATTTTGAAACTTCTGATATGAGCTTTTAAAAACACCTTAAAACAAAAGAAGGAAAAAATTTGCTTGTTTAGAAATGTATGTCTAATAAAAAAGCACTTCCATGTTGGAGCCCTGTATTGTCATTCGAAACCTAAACTCATTTGTGCTGGTATATGTGACAGTTTAGATCATGTTTCTTAAATAACTGATATGATATGGAAGCATAAACTCTACTAATGATCAAAATTTGCAACTGCTGCTTTGCAGCCCCGTCCTGCCGAACAGCTTGCTTTTGCCAGGGGAAGAAGAAAGGCAAGAGCTCAATTAAGTTGCCTCTTAGTCCATGCTGGAATGGTTACATAAAAGGAAACAGTTCTAGATACTGGCATCTGGTGCCACTGTAGATCACCTTTGTATTTCCTGCCTTGCTTCCAACTGCCATTTTGGCATAGCCCAGCTTACCCACAGATCCCATATCATATCTGCCAACCCTTGTGTGGCTATCTTGGTTACCAGGATAGGCATCATGATACCAGATCTAAAAAGGCAGTAGACAGACTTACTCAGCCACCTGCATCCTACCCAACCTCACTGGAAGCCGCTGTTGATGGACAGCTTGCTAGGATATTTATTTGTAGCATTCAACCAAATACTGGCAAGAACCATGTCAATGCACAACAATATGCACTGACATCTTCCCTTTTGGAAATAGGAGCTTTACTGTATGTGATCTGCTCATTGAGACAACACTGGCTCGGAGAAGTGACTTTGTTCTCGTGGAGTAGGAAGTATACAAAGTACACACAATATTTACAGAGTACGTTAGTGTTATTTTGACTAATTTTGGCTGGAGAGTTAGTGGTTGTTTCAAAGCTAGATTAGTCACTGTGTCCATAATTACAATCTCTTGAAATCTGCTTCAGTGTTTTGAATTGGCTTCAGGCCTAATGGTCAGAAAATGGCTCCATCTCGATCTTAAGACTGAACTTGTAGGATTTCATGTCTTCCCCATTTATAAGTGAAAGATGAAAAAGAAATGAGTGCTGTGCATAGAAACCTGTGGCATCATAAGCTGCATCTGCAAGCAAAAGGTACTTATGAATATAGACCTGATGTTCCTAGGCTTACGTTTCTCAAGAGGAACAAGAACAGACACTGATTATTTCAGAGTTACTATTTGTGAAACCCTAGAGAGCATTGTATTGGATAACTGGGTATTTAGAGCTTGCACATGAACTCCAAGTACAACAATCTATCTAATGAAGTAAGACAAAATGGACAATAGAAGTTTTGAATAGACTTTTAAGAAAAGCTCATTTTTTCTGATTACTATTGTGGAGATGTGTTATAGATTGCTTAGAAATGTCTTAACCATGAAACACTGCATAAGGAACACAAGCATGCATCAGCTTGCGTGTGACACGCTTTAGCACGCTTGGAGGTATAAAGAAGTTTTGGCATTGTGGAGAGGCAATGTGTTATGTACATTGTGTGGGAGGATACACCATGCAGATTTGATTGCATCATCTTGCTCTCTTTTTTTCTCCTCTTTCTTTCTTTTTTTTGTTCCAGATGGTAAAACAAAGGCTATAGTGAAACCCGTCCTCTCCCAGGAAGAGGTGGGAGGGAATTTTATATGAGCAAGAAACTTTGCCTCAAGTAGAAATCTGGGGCCTGGACTAATGAACTACCTGTAACTCATACTGTACTAAATATTGCTGAAACTAGGCATGTACTAATCCTGAACCATGCCAAACTATGCATAATTACTATGCTTTCTCTGTGGCAGTAATTAATTTGCGTTAGCAACTTTGATTAATCTTTCTAATCTAAACTTAAAGTGCTTCTCAGACATGAAAGGCTCCGTGACTGCTCAGGGTTGTTATTGTAGCCCAGTGAAGGGTGTTTCGACCCAGTGGGGGGCAGGAGGGGAACAATACTTAAAAAAATCAAAGTATAACTGATATTTATGAACTAAGGAAAATTATTAACAGTTAAAGCATTCTGTTTTGCCACAGAATTCACTGTTTGAAATACAGGCTTCTGTACACAGTACATTCTGCCTGGGAAAAAAGAGAATTGTCATTAATTCGTTAAGAAGGCTTCTTTGAGGGCTGTTCCACAAATGTGAGGGTTACATGCCAAACAGAGAGACTAGGATTCCATCTCATAGAGGGCAAGGGTATGTATTTAACGTTTGTAATGTTGTAGTGCAAACGTACCCATAAATTCATTTTAGTTTTAACCTGGAGGATGGCATTGTTCTAGGCACGGCTGTTCAACAGTGATACTGAGTCAGTCTTCATTGCCAGTCCAGAAAGGGTGTCAGCTAGGGAGTGATTTGGACATGCCTGCTTTTCAGGAAATATGGATGCTAATATCATCAACTTAGCCTATGTTGACAAACAGAGAGCTATCAGATGCTAATGTACCAACTAAATTCTGACATCACTGGAGATTAAAGTTTCCATACTTCATTGCCAACCTCTTGGCCCAAGCCACGCTCTTCACCCAAAGGAATCCAAAGCTGCTGAAAGGACTTATGTCATCAGGTGGTGACTGTGATTTACCTAGACTTCATAAACTGTCACATCTACTAAAGGTAAAATTGCTAAGGCAAACAGACGTGGCTCTACAAACCCATTACAAATACTACAGGGGTTTTAAGTTAACATTGTGTTGCTCGTTTTCTCCATCAGACATACTAATATTACAGTTACTTTTCTCTTGTTTCCCCTGTTAGCACTGTTTCCTGGCAAGGAATACTGCTGCATGTAATTCATGATAGACAGAATGACACAATAATAATTTGGAAATGGATAATGAACTTCAGTTTGATTTAGATGAGCTTTAAAGAATTGCTGCTATTACCTCCCTATCTGGGATCAATTTTGTTTCAACAAGTGAGAGAAGTACTTTGAAAATACATTAACTTACTAGAAAATGTAAATGTGACTCCTGGAATTTTTTTTTTATCTATATATATATATATATATTCATGCTGGTTCAAAAAGGGAATTATTTGTGATAGTTTATTTTCTTATAGTTGTGGTTTGTGTCCAAATATTCTATAATCATAAAGCTACCCTTTGATACCAGTCAAAATAGACAATATATAGTAATGTTGAAACAAGCTTTGTAGAAGACATATCTTTAAATCAGGCATGGGACTTTACATTTATTAGAAGGCGTTCACAAAAATAAGAGTAACATCATGCATATTCTTTGCAACTAAACCCAGTTATGGTTACAATTTGGAAATAAATTTAAATAGACATATGGAGATACAGTAGTACATATACACACTATTTATGACATTAAGTTAGTGTACTGGTAACTCTCAGCAATACATCAGAAGTCTACAACCAGCTGATGGAAAGATTGTATAAGGAGGAAGAAACTGCTTCAATTTCTCACATTATTTCTGTGGCTTGACAAGAATGTCAGTGTGAATTGCCTCCTGAATTTGGGAGGCAAGAACAAGTCAAGACTATACTTTAGCAGTACAAAACATTTACACACAAAATACACATGCATTGCAATGCATTGGGAATGGTTAAAGCAAGGAGAACTCCATCACTCGGTGCTTTATGAACACGGTTCTACAAAGGAGTCTCAAATAGGATTATATAGTTCAGTCACAGTAAGGCCACAATATTACAATGGATAAGGACCTTAGAATTCAGCATTCTGTGTTAGCAATAGAACCCTTCTTTCTTTCTAGACCTTTCTACATGTTCCTGAATGGTATCTCATCAGTCCTTCTTCTATTTTTCTAAGTTTTTTTCCTGTAAGTTTAACATATTGCTTAATACAACAGTTAGCACAGTAGAGAAAGGTACTGCCACAGGGAAAACAAAACCTAGGCAACATCCACAGAGTTTTGAGACTATATGCTGGGTGCGTTCAGATGGAGCTGGCTAATCAGAAAAAAGGCTAGCAAAGGATTTCCTCAAGTTTCGAATAGTTTCAGCTTTTGCTTCATCTTCATTCACAGACGATCGGCAGAAGGACGATTCTGTGAAACTGAAGGCATTTGTCAAAGACTGCGACTTGCTGCAAGACAAAAATGCAACAGGTTTTGCATGGTCATATTGTCTATGTCCATCCACATGTAACTTGTATAAATGATGAGAAAAGGAACAATGCCCATGAGATGTAGACGGTATGCATGGGAACAAAATGCATGTCCAGCATGAACAGTATAATTAGCAATATAGCATACAGAGCTGCTGCCACACAGCAACTTCCTTCCACACTTTGATTTGAGAAGCAGCATAACCTTTTCTTTAGAGAACACACTGCTTTTTTTACAGATCTGAAACACTGGATGCCAGTAAATTGGATGATGTGGATTAGAACTTGAGGAAAAAGTGGGCCTGCCTGCTAAATCCAAATCAGCACCCAACACAGGATGATTAATAACTGTGTTCACTGAGGCTGCAAATGGTTATACCCAAAGAAAAATTATATATATATATTGGCAAGAGTTTGAAAAATGAATCCTGAAGTTGTAATGTGCTCTGTCTATATATATATGTTTGATATCTGAACCTTAATGGAGCCTTAATGACACTTTATACCCCAAATCAGATAAAATTTTTCTTGTCTATAGGCAGCTAGTCTAGCAATACTACTCTAGTTTTAGTGCTAGCATGTAACTATGGTATAAGTTTCTGTAAGCATGAATCAAATAACACATGAGAAGGAAAACAGCTGAAGCTTAAAACCTTAACTCATGACTTGTTAGATAAAACAATATTTAAAAAGTAGTCTTGAATTTAAATAGAAAACATTAATGAGTTATAATCTTTTTACCAAGGCACCCATGCATTAGTAACACTAATGTGATTTTGGTTTTATCTCAGTTCAATAATGGGATTTGAGTTTTGGCTATAGTAAAACCGAAACATTTATTCAGATTCTTATACTCTTCATGGTTTGCAACTTCTCTCCCTCTAAACTAATAATGTACAGCAAACAGTGCTGCAGGCGGTTTAGGTTTTTCATAAATTATAGTTGTGCTAATGAGAATAGACTGATAAATGTTTGTTTGTGCTCACTGAAAGAGGGAGGGTGGGAAGCAGCACTTGACTTGATTAGTAACACAATAAGTAGCCTAATTAAATATTTATTCACAGATTAATAACATGTACATACAGGTTAGGCAACAGCATGTGGGTGAATACAAAGCATACACATGCAAATAGATAGAGTTAATCCTACAGGCAGGAGATCTGAGTCTTGAAAGTTAGAAAAACTACTCTTATTACGGCTTGCATCTCAAAAACTTTCATTCCTCCTTTTTTATTTCATTTTAAATAGAGACTATTCTCTCCTGTTTGAAGAAGAGAAAAATGAATTCAGATTTGAACTAGGAATTAAAGGAAAGGGACAAAGCCGGGAAGCAGTTTGTGGTACAGTTCTTCCGTACCTGTTCTTAACTGGTTTTCTTAAATGCCAGAAGCTGACAAGTTAAATTTCAAACTATAAAGCAGCCTCCATCTTGCTTAAGAAAACTGACCTTCCTATTTTCTACCTATACTTAAATAATGGGTGAATTAATTTGGGTCTTATGATCATAAAACAGAATAAAGAAACACACTGTCCTGGGAAGGCAAGGAAAATATAATCATCTTTGCATACTGATCCCTAATACATCTTTTGCACTGAATTGTGCTCAGGTGAGGACTCAGAAGTGGTTCACACTGGTATTAGCATATGAGTGGGTGGAAAAAGGGGATCTGTGTTACCTGGATAAAACAAAGACTACGCGCCAGTCTTTGTACTTACCATAGGAGGTAGAATGTGTCTGTGACTCTACCAGCAATAGCGTGTGTCAGGATTGCTATATTGAAAAACAACAAATCACTGCTAACACCTCCCCATGTTTTCTGTTGGCTGGGTTTAGGCTGTTAGAGGACACACAGCTACAGATCCTTCCCATATTCTTGTGACTGGGGAGATGCAGCAACAACGGCATGCTGTGCTTTAAGGAATCTTCCAGTAAGTGAGATAACTACAGGCAGCTTCCTGTGGGAGTCCTGCAGCCTCTCTGGAAAGGGCTGGTGTGAATTGCTTGTGCTGGACAGTCAGTAGCAGTGTACAGCCACAAACAACACGTGACTGTGAACAAGCACAGTTCGGCAACCAGTGTCTAGTGTGTTCACTTGGATTGTTTCTGAAGGTAGGCCTTTGAAACTGGAATCTGTTGTCTGAGTGACTGCAGGGTTAAAAGTTTACACAGATAAGACTTCCTCTTTTCTGTGCAGGCTTACAGCACACCCAGATCATGAGTCAGTGACATGAAAAGAGGACAACAAATATGAGAAAGATGATGAGTTTTGAGATCTAGTTGGGGCAGAAATTGCACTACTAGTAAATGAAATTTTGCATAGTGCTTAGGATATAACTAGTGATACTGTCTTACTAATCACAAGCAGAGAATAGGCTTTCTGGAATGTTTTAACCTCATTTTTGACTTGGGAACACATGTACATTTTATCCTGAGTATAAGACCAGCTCCCAAATTACAGTTAGGGCAACAGAATCGGTGCTATGAGAAAAGAAAATGGATAAAGCGAATCTTACTTCAGCTGGGGATGAGACTGAGGCTTCTGTTGTGGAGCAGGCTGTGGAGCAGGCTGTGGAGCAGGAGGTGGAGCTGGCTGTGGCTGTGGCTCTGCTTCCTTTGATAATCGGGTGCTGGCAGGACCTTGAGCCTGGGGACGTGGCTGCTGAGTTGTAGGTCCGGGCGGACGCTGGGGCTGGGAAGCCGAGGGCTTTGCTGCCTGCCCGGGGGGGTACATGCGCTGGGGCTGCAATGGCTCCTGGCTTTGTGATTGCATTCCTTGGGGTTGCACTGGGCCCCCTAGGTTCAGTACAAGAAAAACTTCATAATGTTATAGTATCAAAGAGTCCTTACTAGATTTTATATCCAACAGTTTAAATAATCCTGCAATGTGAATAACTCTACTTTTGAGTTTGATTCTATTCTAAATTCTATTAATATGGACTGCAGTTTCATGTAGGCAATACAACTAATCACAGTTGCAACATTAGTAACTTGTTTGGAGCCCCTACGATTCACTCTTAACATCATTAAGAAGCACCAAATTATCCCAGCAGTGGTGGTACTGACTTCAAATCAATGGAGTTACACCCAGTACAACTTTGTCCCAGTACAGGGAGAAGCTGTGAGATAATCAAATATACTAGGTAATACCTATTTCAGCAGTACAGCTACTATTTTCTGTGTAGTATTGCAGTTTTGTTCATCCAAAGTTTCAAAATTATTGGTTATAGTCCCCTTAGATTCACTCTTATAGCAGTAAAACAACTTTATACTAAAATTTTCCTGCTAATTGAAAGTCTTCTGATAACTTACTTAACCCCTTAGTGAAATACATCAAAAGCATTACAAGAAACACAAGAAAGTCATTACTAATTCTTTACCAAGGAGATCTTGCCATGAGGAGGACATAAATTGGCAAAATACTGTATTAAGTGTGACACTACAGTGTGTAGTAGTGACCTAGATTGCAACACCCACAGCTGAAAAATGCTAAATCATCATACAGGGTGGCTTTTGCTGCTTTCTGACTGAGATAGTGCTGTGTCAGGTATCAGTGGGCATGCTGCTCTTAGATCAGATGTCTGCATGTGGTTTTGGGGGGTGGTAGCTGTTCTAAGTAAGTATTCTTGCATGTGACAAAGCACACAGGACATCTGAGTTAAGGGGGAAAAAGGACAGGATGAAATTCTGAGCAGTTTGTTTGGATAACATTTCACAGAATCATAGTTTTCAGTCGGGGCAAGAGCTTTGCTGAACAGTAAATATTATAGAAGGCGACTGATCTACATGTTCTGAACACTGGGGAATTTTTAGTCTCATGCGGATAGTTAGCGCAAGTAAAAGACATCTCTAAAAGAAACCCTCCACCTCTGAAGGTACTGCTGCAATACATCATTATCATTAGGGTTTGTTTGGAAATTGTTATTATAGTTTGATCTCCACTCACTAGATGAGATTCCAGTGTATATGTCTGAGAACAGCACGTACTAATGCTTCAGTAAGTTTTAATACAGTTGTAGCAGTGTGTTGTGGTGTAGAAAGATAAATAGCACGTACTGTATGTTAAGGAATGTGCCTTCATTGTTTATTAATTTGAACCCCTTTTGTAGGAAATATTTGAAGGTGATAACATGGTCTTGCAACATCTTAATAAAGATCATTTTCTTATTAGCCTCCTTTCACTCAATATTGAAAACCAGAAAGGTTTCTTTCCCCCACTTGTAGATACAGGCTTGAATGCCAGAAACTTTACACTGAAGACAGATATAACTTTCTTTTATTGCACATTAAGCTGTACAAGATATTTCACATAAAAGATATACTGCTGTCACATTTCCAGCATTTGCTCACTTTCTTGCAGCTGGGTTGTACAAAAGGCAACAATCATGAAAGAAACTTTTACCAAAAATAACTCAACAAAACTGAACATTAAGCCTACACTGTAAAACATCTGTTCCCTGTTACCCACAATATTGCACCTAAGCATGCTTACATGCAGAGAGACATTTTGGCTTGCTTCTTGTCTGTGGTATGTAGTAATCGTGTGTGCCCTTGTAAATCCTTTACAGTCAACAAGCTGAAATCCTATCTGAAACACCCATCTCTTCTTTGCACACACAACTCACCAATGTCGTGTGAAAAGCACTTGTGAATACTTGTACTACTACATGCAAAAAATACCAACTGCTTTAAATAAAATCAATCATCAGATTCATTTCTCCACCTCAGGGCAGTATGGTTTATTCCTTACGGTGTCTGGAGGTAAGGATTTGTGAACCTGATTCTAAGTGGAATTTTCTTAATATAGAACAAAATAGCCAATGCCATCATTGGGATGATCACTGACCCAGACAAATGCTGATCACTAAAGCAAAATATTCATGTAATTTACTGATAGGTAGTAAACAGTAGCACTCACCACAAACATTTAAATAGCTAATAATGCATACCTTAATTCTCATCTTACCAGCCAGCTTGTACAAATGAAAGAAACACTACGAATGATGAGTCTCACTGATAATTTTTTCCAGTGTTTGTAGAGAAAACAGAAGTAGAACATAAGGCTGTTTTCCCTTTAAACAAAACTGTTTGCACTAAACTCATGGCCACTACTCATCTTTGTACATATTCAAGATTCAAATTATAGTTTTGTGGCTCACTTGCAACTAAGCTTTCTGGTATGCTAGCAGTGTGTAGCTTGTGAGTCTAGGCCAGATTTCTCACAGCAGATTAACTGCCTGCCTGTGCATTTTTCATAATGCTACAGTTTAAATCTGTTATGCAAAAAGCAGAAATAATTTACCTACAGAAAATCTAGTAGTTGTCAGGCATCTCAAGTCTTTTGCCATGTTTCTTGTCAAGCAATTATTATAAACCCTGTTTATGTGGATAACACTGGGACTGAATTTTCTTTATAGCTATCTGGATATTTCTAGGTTTAAAGTAATAGACCTGAGTTGGTAAAGAAAACCACTGACATTTTTGTCTTGCATTCTAACCAAAGGGCAAGATCCCCAGCTGGTTAAAGGAACCTTGGTCTACCGTCTCCTAACATCTCAGTATTTGAAACAAAAAGAGCTCTTACAGGAAATTTAACAGTCCTTGAGATACTTCCCACCGAATAATCTGGGATTTAACACTTAGGGAAGTATCAGATTTTTTAAAGTCTTTGCATTAGTTTTCATTAAAAATCTCCATTGATTACTAATTCAGAATGACAACAAAAGGTACTACTTAATCGAAATAGGATACATAAAATACTCACACTTTCACTGAGATATTGCACATAGGTGGCCCATTTACATAGCTTTGTAGCTAATAATTCAATGTAGAATACTAAAAATATGAATACCAGTATGTAAAATAGAAGATATTTTAAATATTCCTTGGGAAGAACTGTATCTTATGGAGTCACTAAAATATTAGACTTCCAGTTGCGTCTAACTCAAATGTTAATAAACTTTATAAAATTATAAATAAAAAGCCTCACTAGCAAATTCTACTCTAGACTTTTAAAAATATCTCTGGATCACCTATATATTAGGTCATGCACACGCACAAAAAAATAAAGGCTATGAGTACAGTGTGCACACACACTCACAGAGTAAGCAAAAGTATTTAGATTTGAACCTTGGTGGTATTTTACTGAACGATATAGAATACTCAAAAATACTGTCTAACCATCCATAATGTACAGTTGCACTGGGCTCTAAAGAGGCACATTCTTTGTACACTGTTGACAACAGCCCTGAAATCACAGATTTTACAGAGAAAGGTAGGTAAGCATTACACGCACAGACATGAACAAGTAAACAACCAGACGGTATAGTTGACACTGCATAGAAAAAACACAGTCCAGGTCAGCACTGAAACAATGCAAAAATTGAACAAAACTGGTATGTTTGCTTTTAAGATTGGGTGTTTGTTTCTTTTTTCATTTTGTTTTTTGCTTTAACCCTTGCTTTTAGTCTCAATTATCTAAGTAGCCTGGACTTGTTTTGGTCCTACTGCAACGCCATTACAGTCGAGAATGTACTGTAAACAACCTTGAGGTGGTGGTCGCTGAGGTGGGATTTTGTTTGGCTCTGGCTCCTTTAGTGATCCACTCTGGAAAATACATTGGAAAACAGAAAAGAAGAAAAAAAAATTAGAGTAGCTTAGTTCCAATTTTCTGCTAATTTGTCTTTATTTTCATTAGAAATCTCTTTATTGATTGGGGCTGAACATACACTTTTAATTTATTCCAGATAACATTTTCTAATTTAGTTGCTGTCTGACATGATATATGAATCCTGGACTAATCCAAAGCCAAGTTCTTAAAACCCCCTTGTTTTCCCTTTACAGCATATGATCGTGATCTAAGGAGTGCCTTCCCAAATCTTACCTCATTTGTGTATGGTCTTTCTCCTTCAGTTCCTAGCACCTTGAACAACTTTCCTGTCTCTCATTGCATCTGCTCTCTTTCTTAGGATAGACTGAATAGAAAATGGACTTCAACAAATACTTCTGTGTAATTTAAGAAATAATTTCTTTTTAATTACATTCACTCTCACCTGGAAGCACTAGCACAGATTTGTTTGCTAGTGATAGTTTCGCTTTGATTCACTGACTGTAAATGGGCAGGCAGATGGACTACTCTAGGTTAGCTGTTTTGCTAAGCAAAATGAAAGAAGGAAGCAAAACCCACAGACAAATAATAAAAATAATTGAAATTACTTCATGCTACTCCATCTGACATGTTATTAGAAACACATGGAATACTTAACTTTTCAAAACAGGAGATTTATTTGGCAGTATCCTTTTCAAATGTATACTTGTCGAGAGCAAAAGATGGGCCTGAACCAAAACCTTGGAGCAGAACACCCTCTGGGAACATTAGTATTTGAATCCAGACTATGTCTTAGGCCCATCTCTAATATTTTGAAAAGTGAAATATGTTAAATCATTGGATAGCTTGGGGTATTTTTTAAGGATCCAGAAATTAAATTGCCATCTGTCAAGAGGGAAAAAAATCCCAGAATGTATCAAATAGTAAATGTAAAATTAATTAAGCATGTTTCTTGCAAAGCCTACTAGGCTTTTTTTTCCCTGGTATATTTGTGTTTTATCTTAGAACTATAGAAATAAATCTTACTCACAGAGACATGAACTCCTGCACAGCACCTAGAAGTTACACTTTTTAAATGTTACAAGACAACAAAACTATCAAATGCAGCTGTTCCAAAGTGTTTTGCTTTAGCTACACAAATAAAAGGACATAGGGTGGGTCCAAAACTCATATTACTCAGTTACCAACCTTCTTAAGACTAAATGAGGAATAAAAGTGACAGCTACAAAATGAATAAGGCAAAATCTGATCCTCATATTAACTGACCCAGTTACATAGTTCTTGATAAGCATCACTGTAAGGATGAATATATGTAGAAGAAAATTTCATAAGGAAAATACACAGCCATTAGAAAATTTCAAAGTGCTTTAGTGTGGGTCAAAGTCTTCTCTGTTTTGCTTCTCTCCTTGCTCTAATTTTCTGAGCCACATGTAAAGGTGCCATCCTATCCTGTGCATGTTTCAGGCTGAGTGTTTGTGGTATCCATTCTGTATAATGCAATTGTGGCTCGCTGAAACAATATGCATTTACATCAGTAACTCCTTGGATACTGGGGAAATTAACCCAGAGTCTTCCAAACCTTGAAAAGTTGCCCTGGAGGAGCTAACTTCTTTCATATTCTAGTACCATTGTTCTGAGGCACCTGGCACCCTCCTCATACACCTTCAGGGCATCTGGGTGCTCATCTCTGGTGGTGGAGTGTGACACAGGGAGTCTGCCCTTAAAGGGAAAGTGTAAGTACCTGGGCCTAAAGACACCCAAGAGTTTCTCTCTGGAGAACCAAACAGATCATGTAACTTCTGTTAGAAAGCATGCCTAATATGTTATACGGAGCATTACTCTGATCCCCACGTGACAGATTTCCTACCCTTGCAGAGGGCTGTAAACCTTTTGCAGGGTTCTCTCCACTGCCAGAGGATGACTAGGGAGAATCTGAGTGTTCCTACTTTCCTACTAAAACAAGAGTAAAAGATTCTGTAGGTAAAGCTCATTATTTATTTAGAAACTGAAACCAGAGGCTAGCAGTTTAAATCCACATCTACTTTAACACTAAAACAACATCTGCAGGGCCTCCATCTCCTCCATGCCTTGAGGCTGAAGCAAACCTGCCATTTGCTTTTGCACTGAAATGGTCTTGGGGTTTATTGCACACACCACACTGCTGACTTGACATGACAACATCACCACTTATGCAATCTACAGATCTCCCCATCTTACACAGAAATCATCTTCTCCTAACTGAAGCCTTCAATAACCCTCACAACAGCTCACTGCTCCTTACCCCACCACTCGGAAGGTGCTGCTGGAGATGTGCTTCCCCTCACCAGCCACTGACTGCAGCTGTCCTGATTTACCACCCACATATCCCTTTTTTCACCAGCTATCACCTGGTGCTTCCAGGAACCTCACCCACACTCCAGGCCAATCACATGGGTATATTGCTTTTGCTAATTAGCCAACCCACCCAGGCTGACCCAAAAAGACTCATTAGCATTACATTCCTAATTGAGAACTCTTACTCATGGTTGTTCAGTGGTCTGGAGTAATCCAGGCCTTTTCAAGAGTCCCTCTTTCAGACAGTCAGAAACCTTGATACTTGATATTAAAGACAGGCTTTGAACCAGTCTTGTTTGCTGCCCTGAGCCAAGACCTTTAATAAAATCCAGGCTTCTTCTAAAACACCAGCTGTTGGCAAATTAACTACAGAGTGTTAGTTCTCACCTCTCCAAGACGGTGTGCCAATGCAATTGTAAGAGCTGCTAACTCCTTATAGGCAACACAATCTCTGAACAGAGATGCTGGACTAGACCTGTCCTGCAGATGTATTCACCCCTCGTGGTTTTTTCTTTTCTTTTTTCCCTTTGTTGCCCAGCCTAGAAGCTCACCCTCCTCCCACTTTCTTTTAGCACAAACATGTTTTCCTGTACTGCAGTTTTGATCTATGAAATTGCCTCTTGCTTAGTTCAAACACTGCAGGAATTGAGGATTAGAGTGCAGCATATATCATGGGAAGTGACCTGAACAGATTCTTATTTGGATGCTGAAGAACCAAATGAGTAATACAGAAGATAGAAATGACAATGTTTAGGATTACCTAAGTGAGGTGTGGTAACTGTTGGTTTAAGGAGCCCTTTCGGTTTTCATTTCATGGAACACAACTTCCCTATCACATCCAAATCCCCCAAAGAGAAGGGACTGCTGATGCTGATAGTAACTCTATATAGAACTGCTTATGGAAGCTCTCCTTTTCCAAGGGGATTTACTGTTTATATAGCTATTCTAAAAAATAAACCAAACCAAAAACTTTACTTATGGAAACCTCTAAGCCACATGAATGCTGCAAGTACACTATAGTGATTTCTCAACTCTGGGTATAACAATTGATGCTTTGGTTGCATAATGGTCTTTGAGAATATCAGCCAAGTTAATTATAACCAGAGCAGAAACCCCACTACTTATCTAGAAGATAGATGTCTCCAGATGTCTCCGTGGCATTTCCTTCCTTTCCGCACTTACCTCAGTCTCCTTTAAATTTTAGGGGTAGAACTGGAGGAAAGAACACTTTGTTCTTTAAAGCATGTTGTATTAGAATCTGATCAGTGGCATTATTTCTTTTTCTACCCTGTATATTTACATAAATGCAGACTGGATTCATATATACCTGAGTTTTGAATAGTCTGAAGAATGTTGAAATGGGTGGGAGCAAAAGCAGCAACTTGGCAGAGAAATAGCCCTTGGGCAAAAGAGATGCTAAACCGAGTCGCAGCAAAAATGGATTTTGATTTGGCTGAATTTGAAGATTTAGTGAACTGTAGTTGGAGCACGTATCATTGGGTTTGGGTTCCGTTTTGTTTTCTTTGTAATGCAATGATAGAAGCTTTTCATAGGTATTTCAATATTTGAAGGGAAAACCATGTTTTTTCAGGTTAAGAAGTAGAGGGATTCAGTGAGAATTGCCAAAAGATGAGCTGAGTTAGATCTCATAAAGGAACAAGAATAAATAGTGAAACAATTAAGTAACAGGAGAAGTAAGAAAAAATGTGATTGCTCAGGCGAGAGGTAATTTAGATAATTTAAGTAGGGTGTCAATAGTAAATGAATGTTTGAAGTGTCAGAGATTATGATAAATACAGGAGCAAGGGCAAGATGCCAGGTGGGATAAAAGCTAAAAATGAGATGGAGTCAAAAATCAAAGATCTTCCTGGGCTCATATTGGTCCGACAAGATATTCTTCATCTCAGAAATCAAAACCAGCTGACTCATGATACGCAGAATTCCATAGCAGGTATCTGTAATAACTGGAAATGTACAAGCTACACTGGAGAAGGTTAAGCATTAATATTACAGGAATTACACTGTGGGTAAGGAAATGACTAGTGAGGAGATAGGCAGTTACTGAAGGAAAACTAATGGGAAGGCTATAACTGGGATGTGGAACTCAAGCAGAATTTTCATTAATTAAGTTGGCACAAAAACCATAGGTGTGTGCTACTAAAGGCTGTAGATGATACAGAGCTGGAAGACTACAGGACAAAGACATCCTACAGAAAGAATGAAATTATTGATTAGTAAGAGTTTAAAAAAGAAAAAGGGAAAAAAGAAACTTAAATGCTATGTCCAAAATAATTTATTGATGGCCTAGTAAAATGCATCTGTCAGAAATGCAGAGCTCACTAACTGAGATCTAATGGGAAAGATCGAAAAACCCCAACATTTTATCACACATTCAGTGAAATATTTCCAGTAGATGTTAGGCATGATGCTGTGTGTCATTGACATCACCCCTGCCCAAAAGCCAAACGTAAGCTGATCTGGCACAGAAAAGTGCTGTTAAGCTGACTAGGCAGATGGAAGAGCCTACACCTACAGCATTTGGAAACGTATGTCTTGCTCGGTTTAGCAAACTGAAGGCTTGAATGCAGTACAGTTGCTTTTTATAAATATATTGTAGTGGTGAAGAACTAGACAGAAAATAAGTTAGACTCAAGGACAACAAGAA